AGAATTTGCTGTTGTACGGAAATTATAGTCTTTTGTTCTACTAACAGTTTTTCTTAGGTTGGAAAACTATATAAAAATAAATAAAATGTGTGTGTGTATGTATCTGATATGTACAAACTCCCATATATTTGGAAAGAGAAGAGCACTAAGAAGAGAACAGCTAAACTTGGTTGTTCCATCCGTGTTTTAAATGGTCAAATGAAATTTCATTCTATCATGTGGATTATTGTGAGATATCAATAGTTTTGCTAACATGTAATAGTTGTAATATAGTGACTATATGCATGTTGTACTGAAATTAAAACTTCCTTCCTTCCTTCCTTCCTTCCTTCCGTCCCTTCCTTGCATCTTGACTTTCTTCTTGCCTAAATTAGATAACAACTTACTTTCTTGAATAATTTTCTATATGTCCCACTAACTCTGGGAAACTACATCCAATGGTCTGACTTCTAACATTCTTAGCAACTTCTCAGCTGGGCAATTATGGGAGTCCAACCAAAGGTTATGAAGTCCAATCAAAGATTAAGGAAGTCTGCTCCAACTCTTCCAGCAACATCTGAGTTTTCGATATGCTGAGCACAATACTTGACATTCAAACTCAAGCACTATTAAAAATACATATGTAGTTCGCCTGTGAATGTTGGTAAATGGCTTCTTAAGTTTCACAGCAGTGTAAAACAGCCTGACTCCACTTCACTGACAATTCCATATTGTATGGCTTCATCAAGTTCAGAACAAATTGTGAAGTGTGCAAGGAAATGAGGCAAGAGAAATAAGAACTCTGTGACTTGAATGTATAAATCACTGAGAAATTGCTCTAAATTTAAGCAGGTTGAAGAGACCAAAATAAATAATAAAGTTCAGGATGGCTGTATTTGTGATATTCTTCTGCCATAAAGAATTTTTTTTTATTTTGTTTGTGGACTGTAAGTGATTTGTAGTGATGTTTTTTTAAAAAACAAAAGACTATTACATACATTATTATGTAAGCTTATTTAATCGCTATTTTATGGGATTGTTTATTTTGCAGTTTATTGTAGTATAATATTTTTATAATTCCATTATCGTTAGTTGAGTTGAACATCACCAAATGATATGCCCAAGTACACAAACCAGAAGTAATGTTGAAAGGTGTCAAAATGCCTTTCTTTCGAGGATTCGATTTTCCCGCTGGGAGAGCTCCGGCTCAAGGATACGGACAACTGCTTGAAAGCTGGATCTTTTTATTTTTCAGGAAGGCGGAGAACAGCGAGAAGTCTGCGCTCCTGGGCTAGCTAGTTTCTTATGGTAAGTCCCTGGTTTTTTGTACCCTTTTCTCCCTTTGTAAGTTGATTTTGTGTGAGTGTTTTTATTTGTGCCTAATGTTTCAAATCCTGTTTGAGTTTGTCTTTATTTCCGTCGGAGGGCAAACTCCGCGGGGTGCGGAAGGCAAACTCCGCAGGGTGGCCAGATTGTATTATTGGTTTTCTGTAATCTCTTTTAGCTTTAAGATAGTTTGTCGTATTTGTTCTGTGGCAATCTCCTGTCTGTCCCTTTTGTAATTTATATTTTGTGTCTTTTGTCTGTTTGCTTATTTGGTATGTCCTGTGTTTGTAAGGGTTTTCTAAATTATCTTTTGTTTCCTTTTCCTGTCTGTCTAGTTTTCTTAATTACTTAGGCTTTTGTCTATAGCAGGCTTGTCCAACCCGCGGCCCATGGGCTGCATGCGGCCCAGATCACCTCGTAATGCGACCCAACGCCCACCCCAACCTTCATGAAAGATCCAGCGAGGAGGAGGAGGAGAGGCAGGCGCGAGGCGGGGCGAGGCAACAGAAAAGGCGGGCAGCCGCAGCCCAAAAGTCCCGCCCCGCCACCTCCTGCTGTTGCCACCGCCGCCACCGCTGCTGCATTTGCAGGAGAGGTAGGCGCGAGGCGGGGCGAGGCAACAGAAAAGGCGGGCAGCCGCAGCCCAAAAGTCCCGCCCCACCACCTCCTGCTGTTGCTGCCGCCTCTGCCACTGCTGCTGCATTTGCAGGAGGAGAGGTAGGCGCGAGGCGGGGCGAGGCGAGCAACAGAAAAGGCGGGCAGCCACAGCCCAAAAGTCCCGCCCCGCCACCTCCTGCTGTTGCCGCCGCCACCGCTGCTGCTTCTGCCCCTGTCACCGCTGCTGCTTCTGCCCCCGCTGCTGCCGCTGCTGCATTTGCAGGAGGAGAGGTAGGTGTGAGGCGGGCGAGCTTTCTTCCCCCCCTCCCCGCAAAATTTGGCCGGAAAATTAATAAAAAATAAATAATTTGCAGGAG